AGACAAAAACGCGAAAGCTGCTCTGCTCTTCACGTCGTCCAAGCGATCAAGAGAAGTTGTAAGGCGAAGCTGAAACAGGTGCTAACAGGTGTACTTGCTGTAGTAGTATTATCATGTCACTAAATATTGCAGAAACAGTTAACTGAGTCAGTATTAAGCCACCGCTAGAAGTCTTTGCAAGACTTCAAATCCTGATGAGTTCGCATCAAAATTCTGCAGTCTCATAACATTTCTTGATGGGCAAGGAGAAAAGGAAATGGCTGAGTATCTAGAGAAAACTTGGTATTGTCTTAAATCCTTAACATCACATATCGCCCATTCCTCATTTGTTTTTAGGAGCCCTCGTATACGGCAGTGGGGAGGTTTTAGCAGAAGAAGTTCCAGCGTCCATACGAGTATGCTCATAGAAAGATTTCACAAACGACTAAAACATGAGGTGTTGAACGCCAAAGCAAATCTAAGGATTGATACGTTAATGGAAATACTAATAGACATTGTTCCGAGCATGGAAGGGGAGCGAAAAATACTGGTACTAATTTTCATAAGCAGTGTTTGAGTTGTGATCAGTAGGAACTAGTTGCAGATGGCAAGAGGACTGCGAGTGGGCCGTTTTCGACTGATGCAACACCACCGTGCGCATGCTTTGGCTGTCAAACTTTTCCCCGTCGTAATACCAGACGCCATTACAAAGTTTTTGAAAAACGGCCTATGGATCGTGACAGGCCGAAGGAGACCTCATTACGTAGAACAGCAGTTTTGCTTATGTGATTCAAAGGTAACATGGGAAGAAGTTGCGTTTAATTTGGAATCTGAGTAGTATCGTTCGCATTCAGTAAGCACCATCTGCAAAAGTGCGGAGCCTGCCCATTACTCGCATCTGTGTGATTGTGCGCAGATTGCTAAAGCAGGATTTTCCTGCCTCCACGTACATCGCTGCATCTAATTTTATGCTCAAAAGGGAATCTGTTCCTCCTCACCTGGTTGCAGTACTTGTAATATGGCCATTGCAGGATTGATGACAGTTGAAGAGCCGACTTCATGCACCACACCAGATCAGCTCACGACAACCGACAAACCGAAAGGCAGTGAAAATTCGACCATGTAACGGACGATGATGACCCCTCATCAAAAACTGTATTTTTGTGGCGCTACAGGAAGTACAAGCACCGACATTTTGGAGCAAACAAAGAGTTGCTGCAAGAATATGAGTGTGTCAGTCAATCACGAAATATACGTCGTTTATACACATTGTAACAGAATTTGATTCAGGCCAGCGACCACTAAGGTCGAAGATGGTTTCCTTGTCAAAGATAGCGAATACAAGAGCGCAGGACATAATGAAAACACTCATCGAAATGATGAGGAAAACTGACATCGAAGTGGCGGCTGAGTTGGCCCTTCATCGCAGAACGCATTCCCTTGTGTATAGCATTTTGGTAAGGCGTGTTGAATTGCCTTCCCGGTACAGAACCCGCCCAAGCTCACTGTCCATCGGTCTCATTGAGGTTGGCTGGTTTTCTTCGTTTAGTTAGCCACTACTTGTGATTTTTCCTGATACCGACTATTTAGAGAGCTTCACTGAAACCAAAGCGTACCCATTCGAAAGAGAAGCCTGTAGAAGAGATGAACCCGGACGAGATCCAATGCTGCATTATCTGTTTTAGAAGGATTCCCGATGATGGCTCAGACAGGGATGAGGATGAATGGCTGAAATGTTCGTCGTGTGGTTTTTGGGCACATAATAGTTGCTCAGGTAAAGGGACACCTCGTCCGTATGATGAGGGGACTTTCAATGAGTCTCCATTAGAGTGAAATGGAAACTCGTAGATTTCTAGGCGATACTCGCTTTACCTTCTGGTAACTGTTATTGCGATTGTTATTTTGCCTCACTGATTCGTTTTTGTCACATATCGGCGCCAAGTGCCTTTCTTCTATTGAGAAGATTCCTATTGTGTGATCCATTGCTAGTAAGTATGTTATAAGAAATGTGTGACCCATACATGTCACTGTGCTTTGTGTGTAATGCATAACGTAATTAGCTTTGTGTGTTAGCTGCCATTTCTTTAACACATTGACGCCCGCGCCGATTTTGGCGCATGTCGCACATGTGTGATTGGCTGGATTGCGTGCGTGCATACCCGGCGATGCTCAAATGTCGTATGTGGGACATTTTCTGGGTTTTCGTTGCGGGACCACACATGGCAAGTCATCGAAAGGCGCGGGAGCGCCCATTTTTGTGTATGAATTTGAGTCTTTTTTTATCAGTTTGCTTGTTTTCGTGCGTATTTTCGAGTTTTTTAGTTCAAGAAGTGCTTTACTTGTTTTCGTGCGTATTTTCTACAAGTGTTTCTCTATGCCCTCAACTTTTAACGCCATTCTTGACATTGCAGGCAGACTGCTTGTGGGATCCCACGCAACTTTCGAAACTTTCGGTGCTAACTTAGTTGGGGGGGGGCACGCGGCGGCGCGGCAGTCTGCTCACCTGGGCTCTCTCGAGCGAGACAGTGTAAACTCGAACATTCCAGCTTTTCACGCATGTCAAGTGACTGCCCCCACCCCCCCCCCCTAGACTGCCTACACTCCCCCTGGCCCACGGATTTCCGAACATGCCAGGCGAGCAGACTGCCGCGCCGCCGCGTGCCCCCCCCAACTAAGTTAGCACGTATGTGTCAGCTTTTCTTCGCCTGACAACGCCAACTACTTATCTCTCTACTGCCTTATTTGTTTCCTCAAAATGTTAATTTCGATGTTTCTCGTTTGTTGAGGTTATTGAAAAGTATATAACTAACAGACTTGTTGTTTAAAATTTCCTGATATCAACTTGTTTATAATTACCAGGGAAGCTCAAACTCTGAAGCCTGAAATAGCATAGAAAGTTTGTAATTGATGAGAACTTGTTCAATACGTAGGCTCATTGAAATCTGATTGTTTTGAGTGTTGAATCTCTGAAAACTGATTCATGCCTTCGAAGCGTCATAAATCGGTAGAAATCGAAGTTGTCCACATGCCACGTGTTCTGTAGATTCATGAGGCCCAACAAAAGTCAATTCGTCGAAAAAGTACTGGAAAAGGTTTATTTGGAGCAAAATATAGATGTGCATACCCGGCGATGCACAAATGTAAGATGTGGGAGTTTCTGCGTGCATACCCGGCAATGCACGCGGGCGCCAACGTGTTAATATGGCATTATGATAAGTTCAATACATAAAATTGATCGATAATAATTTTGGATTGATTGACACATTGAACAAATAACAGTGCATGCATCGTGAACAAACCACCGCAAAACCCCCAACTTTAAGCCTTTTCAGATGACACCACTGACCAGCTTGTATCGGCCTAAATTACGCTGGGCTGCGGCAGGAGTACTTAGCACAGAAATACTACTTGCTGGTTATCGTTCCGAAAACCACATTGTGGTCAGCCAACCCCTGGATTTTCGTATTTGATCGATTTACACGCGATAGGACGTAGACCTGCGAATGCTTCCAAGCTTCACCAACCTTGATTCTACTCAGGACATCCTTTTCTTCCTGCACACTTAAGCTATTGAACCGAATGTGAAGTTACTTTGAAGTGATTGTGTCGCGATCATCTTGGTGTTGTGATACATTCACTTCACAGCAACTTGCAGTATGCGTGATACGATTCCTATATGAGGTGAGTCCTCCAGGCTACCTTGTTAATAGAACAGTATGTTAAAGAACCTGTTGTCGTTAACTACATTAAATAGTTGTTTTAGTTAAAAATGCTTTGAAACTTTCCACATTAGTTTTCAATTTCGCTGGCTTTGTAGTTGCTTGACGTCGAAAGAATCATCTAAAGTCTCAGTAGTATAGACCACATCGAATAACTTGGAACCTTTGCGGTACAGTTTATACTTTCACCCTTTTCTGTTGCTTTGCCACCGCTTGCCATTCCATTTCATCGAATAGTTCCTTATTCACCAAAATCCCTATATTAAATTTCCCAAACTTACAACATACATTTTGTAATCATCTAAATTGCATGGTATTAATCAGGCAACCCGTGATATTTTCCTGTATTCAGCCGCGTATCACATTGAGTTTTAATAATATTTGCTCTGGCCCGCACCTTTGATGACATTTCTCAGTAATTATTAACGTGGCGATTTGCATTCTCATATGCTAAGGGGGCCGCATAAGCGTTCGAGATTTGGTATCAGCCGCTCTGGCACACTAAAGATTGAAGTCGTTACGAGTTCGGAAGCGTCAAGCGTTGCAAGTACGAAATAGAGGAACCATTTGATAAAACGGGATCACAATGCCGATAATGCATTGAAACTTATAAACAAAAGACCACAACCATAAGAGTGCAATGAAACTTGAAACAACTGCTCTCCTAATAGGAAAGGTTAAAGGACTCACCGAATAAGGTTTTGTTATTATGCACTGCAAGTTACCGTGAAGCGAAGTGTATCACGACTCCAAAACGACCGTGACACAATCACTCTGAGTAACTTTACAGCTAGCCTGATATGTGTGAAGGACAAAATATGCAGAAAATAAGCCAGAAGAATGGCCGGGATTGGTGAAGTTCGGAAGGCATTTGCAGGTCAACGTCCGCTGGGGTGTAGTGTCCGTAATTTCACAATACACTATTTGACGACTAAGATTACGGTGATGAAATGGATCCGTGTTGAAAAATCGTTCTTGTCCAAGTGACTGCTCTCACTCCCACCCCCCCTCCCCCTCCTCCCCTAGACTGGTAACACTCCTGGCTCACATTTTCCGCTCCGCACTGAAGTACGGCACGCCGTCGGACAAAAATAAAATTACTGTAACCTTCTGGGAAATTCTGTATCACGATGCCCCACTCCCTTACTTGATGAGACCCACAGCAAAACATGAGAGAGATAAGCAAAAATTTGTATCTCCTCAGGTACAACACTATTTTGTTGAGCCATGCTGATCGTTAGTACACTACATGTAAAGAGGCGGGACTCACTGCATCAGGCTCCATCTCGTCAACATAGGACTCTACGTCTTTTCCTTCCTTCGACGCTGAAATAGTTTTTGAAATAGTTTTTATTGAAAGTTTAACAGTGAGCTGCTCGTGCACTATATATACGCTAAAGAATCGCATATGCAGAGGCGTAAGCTCTGTAATTTGGAGCACCACCACACAAATGATAGTCGCGAAATTGTCAAGCCAAGAAAAGTTGGCCGATTGCCAGCGGTCCCACTTGGTATCATTAGAATGTGGAAAGAGTCTTTGTGCTTCTTTCAACTATTTTTTGAAACTTATTTCATTTTCTTCCTTGGCGTATTCCACTACTAACAATATGTATTGTATGCCCCACCATAACAACCAATATATTGTTTTTTTAGTGACTAGTTAAGAAATTTTTCTCTGAAGAAAGCGTTGATATGACTGCGGTCCTTAAGTTAGGATATTTTTACTATGCTGAAAGCAGCGCAGGTGTTGGCAACAGCGGGTGTCGAAAGATGGCTTTTGTAGGACTTGTGAAAAACAAGGGATTGCGAAGGTTTCGGAAAGTTATATTTTTATACCAGTTTTGCTCCGCCCGCAATCGCGCGCATGTCAACATAGGCTTCAGTGAAACTGAGTATAGCCGGGCCATTGTATTGAGACATACTGCTTTCAATGGATTTGACTGATGGTATTAAGGAAAAGATAAAGCAGTAATTTCTCATAGTTCGTCAATACCAATAAACATCCATCATTTTTCTGGAACTAACAAAGTCTAGCAGCCGAATGAGCTTTGGATAACTAATACAATTACTTGGGCTGCTTATTATCAACCCTCAGCGTAAACATCTACCATGCTTCTTCTCTTCTTCTTCTCCCTAGCGTTAGTCCCGCGCAGTCGCAGGGTCCGCTGTCTTTATCAGTCGTCGCCACTTCGCTCTGTCCTAGGGCATCTCTGCTGTGGCCGTGACTTCACTTAGGTCCTTCTTGATTACGTCCTTCCACCTCTTCTTTGGGGCTCCTCGCGGTCGCTTGCCTTGCGCTTCGAAGTCCATCGCTTTCCTTATTGGGTGGCCTCCTTAGCACGTGCCCATACCATCGCAGACGCTGTTCCGTACCTCAGCATCCTCATCTCAGCGGAGTGAAGCTGCCTTTCGTGATTCTTGTTCAGGGGCCAGCACTCGCTGCCGTATAGCATCGCAGGCCTTACCACTGTCCGGTACACCTTCCCTTTGAGCGTTCTGGAGCACCTTCGATCGCAGAGGATTCCAGTGGACTCCCTCCATTTCATCCATGCCGCGTTGATTCGTGCCTTCACTGCCTGATCCACACTACCGTCGGCTGCCAGATCGCTCCCAAGGTATCGGAAGTCCTCCACTCTTTCGATGGTCTCACCATGGCCGTCCACGATCGGCTCTGCACCCTCTTCGGAGCTCAGGAACTTGGTCTTCTTGACATTCAGCCGGAGCCCACCTTCTGCCAGGACTTCTGCCATTTCTGCACCTTGGCCTGTAGTTCTTCTCTGCTATCCGCTATCAGGGCGATGTCGTCAGCGTAGAGGATGGTCTTCAGTGGTCCTTCCATGAGCCCCTTCACCATGGACATCTAGTGTTAGGAGGAAGAGGAACGGGCTCAGAGCTGACCCTTGGTGCACCCCAACCGTGATGTCCACCTCCTTCGTTAGGCCGTGTGGGGTGCGTATAGCTGCCTTCGCCCCATCGTACATGTCCTTCACCAGAGAGATCAGGTGTTCTGGCACGTTTCGTTCCCTGAGCGCTCTCCATAGTACTGCTCGCGGTAGCCGGTCGAACGCCTTCTCCAGGTCGAGGAAGGCTAGGTAGCAGGGTCGGCGCTTTTCTCGATACTTCTCCATCACTTGCCTGCGATGAAGATGGCATCCGTTGTAGACCTTTCGGGCATGAACCCGAACTGTTCCTGGGAGATCGGGACCAGCTCCCGCAGTTTCGAGTCGACCAGTCGCTCGTACAACTTCATGGTATGCGCAGTCAACTTGATCCCGCGGTAGTTGGAGCAGTCCATCGCGTCACCCTTCTGCTTGAAGATGGGGACGATAGTGCTTGTTCTCCTTCCTTCGGTGGTTACCTTGTTCAGGAATCGGTAAGCCATCTGATCCCGTACTCTCCGAGCGCCTTCCATGCCTCGATTGGCACCCCATCTGGACCCACCGCCTTTCCAACCTTCATCTTCCCTAGTTCTTGACGAACCTCATCCTCTGTCCATAGTGAGATGGGGCCAGCCGTCGCCTCTGCTTGTGAGCTGTCTTGTGGGGAACTCCTCGTTCAGGAGCGCTTTGTAGTACTCTTCCCACCTCCTCCTGACTTCAGCTGGCTTCCTCAGGATGGCACCGTTACTGCTCTTCACGCTCTTCACCACCCTGATGTCTTGAGTAGCCCGATGCCGGGCTTTGGCCAGTCTGAAGACGAACTTCTCTGCGTTTCTGCTTTCCAACTTCTCGTACAAGGCGTCCATTTCCGTGTTCTTCGCCTTGGCGACGGCAGCCTTAGCGAGCCTCTTGCAACTCTTGTAGGCAGCGAGGTCCTCGGGGCTCCGGGTCTTCTGCCAGCGCTTGTATGCTTCCTTCTTCTGTTTCACGACTCACTGGAAGCCGCAACCTTGGTTGGTTTTTTGTAAGTTTGTCTGCTTGTCCGTCCGCAAAATGAAGTGAGTAATAAGGCAGCTAATGGAATAAACAAGCAACAAATCTGGGTAGCTCGCAGGGCTTGCCTATCAATGTTTTGCAATGGCATGATTGTGATAACACCCAACGGCTATATAAACACCTACTTAGCACACTTCCGGTCATTCCACAAGGTGCTGCAGTGGCAGCTGGAGAGCAGAGGGGGAGGGAGGATAAGGGGAGGAGGAGGAACGCAAAGCTTACGCGGGAAGGGAGCTTCCGGCGCTTGTCGGGAGACCAATCTGGTTGCTATAACCTCATTACATAAATCAGAACGTTGGTGTGTCGGTTTGTCGGTGTGTGTCATTCCGGACAACCACTAACAGAACCGGGGAGTTTGAAGGGCTACACTTCGTGATGTTGATGTCCCGATTATGACAAGCCATGTAAACATCGATCGAGCACACTCACGATCAGTCTCATTCTACATGGTGCTGCAGTGGCAGCTGGAGGGGAGGGGTAGAAGGAGGGGGCAAGAAGGGAGAGGGCAGGAAGGGCGAGGAGGCGGAGGGAGGGGAGAAAGAGGGAGGAAAGGAACGGGAGAGGAGAAAGGGAGGGAGGACATAATGCTGCCGTGGCATAGTCTAACTTGATGTTCTGAGAACACCCACAAGGGCTATATAAATACCGATCGAGCACACTCAGTCTCATTCTATTATGTTATTCACAAGTGGAAGGACCACAGCGGAAGACAAAAGGTTTGCAGGGAAGCAACGTTTCGGTTGACGGGCTACCAATCTGGTATAAAAACATTCTAAGCACACTTTGGGACATTCCACATGGCGCTGAAGTGGCAGGTGGAGAGCCATGGAGGGGGAGGGGAGGATAAGGGGAGGATTAGGAACGCAAGCTTACGCAGGGAAGGGAGGTTCCGGCGGTTGCCGGGGGACCGATCTGGTTGCTATATAAAAACATTGCTGAGCACACTTCAGTTCATTCCACAGGAAAGAGGGGAGGTGGAAAACTAATCACTAACAGACCTAAAAAGGATCTAGGTATTAATATGTCGTTCTACCCTTATGTTATACCAGTTTAGCTCCGCCCGCTACCGCGCGCATTGATAGAACTGACAATCGATGAAGCTTTAGGTTTCACCGCTAAATTATAGCTGCTTCGTTAAATGTATTACTGTCCGTTGCATAGGCTGGCTGTATCTCACTGTTTGATAAGCGCAGTGAAGTGCACAGCTAAAGTGATGATGTAAACAACCACTATGCGTCGAGTATCGAGGTAATTTAGCGGTCGAATATCTCAAAACGGAATGCCCAGTATTCATTATCATATTTATTCGAGCATCCCATTCATCCTCAAGAACTCTAGAAGGTGTAGCGGTCGAAAGGTGTTTGAGTTTACAATTACAACGCTGATGAAATGATATTGAAATGAAATGCATTATCTACAATCTGCTCTCTATTTTCTATTTCAAGTGCTCTCTACGTTCGTACGCATATCGTTACTATCAGTCCTCATCAGTCGTTATCACTTTTTGACCCCCACCAAATATGTTCCCGTCCCACCCCCTATATCATGTCCCAAAATCAGCTCCTGACGACTGCTGCGAAGCGCACTATGAATTTCGTGAAATTTGTGTTTCAGCGCCTCTTATCTGCTGAGTCGTTATCACTGGGGTGTTGGTGCGGGTGGGGGGACCACAAATACGTTCCAGTCCCGCATATATCATATTCAAAAAATCATCAGCTCACAATCTGGCTGCGACGCGTGCTATGATTTCGTGAACATCGACACATCAGACACCACCAAACAGAAGAGGGGGATGAGGCGGTCTTATAGTTATTAGTGAAGGGGTGAGATGGCGGTGCTCTTTACTTCAACACGATTTCAAAAGCACTGCCACCATACCGCCCCCGTGTCTTGCGATCATGCCTTAACCCTACGCCTAAGCTTGAGCCTAATCTTAGGCATCAGTGATCGTGCAACGCTAATGACCTGACCTACATAGGAGAACAGAACGACTAAAAGGAAGAGACTTTGCGATTTTAAAAGACTTTGGAAGACAAAGAGAATCGAGTTTGGCGTCAGAGGACTCGAGATATGCCTTACCTTTGTGAGCAGCTCCATGCGACAGTGGAAAGCCTGCAAAGAATCCTTCACTAAGCTGCTTCCTGCTCCAATCGTGCAACTCACCTCAAAAGATGATAGTAAAAACAGCAGGAGCGCAACTGTAACTGGCTGCATAGTAGTGAATGAAACCTGAAGCTTTCTTCGGCTTTTATAAATGACCGCTTATCCCCCATTCACTGCTGTATCTGATAAGTAAAAGTTGATGTTGCTCGGATAGTTCACTAGGATTGGTCTGTCTACAGTGCAACAAACGCTATAGATGATCGCTAGAATATGAAGCGGCAGGACAAAACATATACAGTAGCGGTCAAAAGTTTGGAAACTTTTTTATTTTTGATCTAGCGCGGCCAATAAACAACGAAATTGCCTCAAATTTACATATGATATACAAAATTTTGCGATGTGCAACATATCTTTCTAATAGCGAGAACCATAATGAAAAAATGCGGCTTTTTTTCAAAGAATTCGTGAAAAAATTGGAATTTTTTGTTTTTCACATTATAATTTCTTCTCCCCAATTTTTGCACGTTTTTTAAAGTTCCGTCTTGTTCTTCTTCTCTTATTCTTATTACTATGTACTTTTCGAGTGAAACCATGTAAGAAGTAAACATGACTTTTGTAGGAAAGGTTTGTCGAAACCCTGGGGTGCGTATAAAGAACTAAGTTGCTCCTCAAAAGTTCAAGCTCTTTCGGCTTTGTTGCTTCGCATTCGATTGAGTCCCTCATTGCATAGCTCTTTAACATTGCTCTAAAATCAACTGGTATGAGATCTGGAACAGGCTGAGAATAGAAAACGGATTTTTTGAAAACAGAAAAGATTGATAAAAGAGCACATTACCTGGATATGGTACCCAACTGCTTTCATGACGTCTTCAAGAGTCAGCAGTTCCTCTACATTTGAAATGATTGAACATTCCGAAAAAGCTGTGCCAGAGGCAGACAGAGACAGCTGTGTTTCAGCGAACATATAAGAAACGTAGTCTCTCATTTCAGAAGGCAGAGTTGGAAATGTTGCAGAGAGATAAGCGGATATTGCGTCCATATTAGCCATTTCGATTGTTAACGGACGTGGAGGCAGGAATCTGCAAAAATCTTCACAGATCTTCAACCCAATGGTTCACCTCGGGAGATATCTCAGATAAGAACGCAGAGAAAGAAGTCAGGAACGAAGGAGGTCAATCAAGTCAAACGCAATCGATTCAAATTTTAAAGGATCACAGTGACTGGAAACGGTGCGTCCCGCAGCGAATGGCGCCCTATAATAAGGAGTTGGCAACATGCCCGAGTCAGCCGGAGTGCAAAATCATTGCTCGTGGCCTATATCTGGTCAGAAACTCCCCAATTAGCTTTTCATTTTTCGAATATTCAGAGTTTTGATAACGTTCAAGAATTTCACTTATTTCATCAGATTCTTATGGTTGTTTCCATATGATTTTATTCTTATGTTTATTCCATGATTCATTCGAACATTTCAACTGAACTGCGGAATCGGTACAGAAAGTGGTTCGTTGCCTCATGTAGGGCTTCGGAAAGAAAGATGTCCGTAGTTTCATATTCTAGACGGCTAGTGCGACCTAGAAGGGACGGTTGGTTTTGGCTGTAGCGCCCACAAACGTTGAGAAGATTTTTCGTTTGTGTCGAGGTGAGTGTGCAAAATTCGTTCAACATGAAATGCCTACCTCGATCAGTGTTCCTGCAGATATTTTTGGCGTTGTTGCCTCGTGTCGGTGACAAGAAATTCCGTGTCGAACTGAGTGCGCAAGATTTCTCCTACATATAGTGCTAACCGGACTGGTTTCCTTGCAGATTTTTCTTGGCTTACAGCGCCCACTATTGTTGGAGATTTTTCAGCGCGTCGAAGTAATTGCGTATAATTTCTTCATCATACAATTTCTACTTGATTGGTCTTCTTGCAGTATTTTTTGGCTGTAGTGCCCAGTGCTCTTGAGAAGATCTTCCTTCGTTTCGAGGTGAGTATGCATGACTTCTACATCATAGAATGTCTATTTGATTGCTCTTCTTGCAGTTCTTTTTGGCTGTAGCGCCCACTGTTGTTGAAGATATTTCTTTCGTTTCGAGGTGAATGCTTATCAAATTTTTGGATTATTTATCCAATTTTCTACACAAAAAAGCTATTAGACACATACACACATAAAAGGCACACACACAGACAGATGGAAACAAAACTACTCCCAGTTCTTTTCTTGTGCTGTAAATCGAAACATTAATCAACACATTAAAAAAATTGAGTGAATCGCTAGTCCTTTCCCAAATCCACATACGGAAAACTCTGATGGCGCCAGTT